CGCAGTCCACCTTGAAGGTGTTGATCGGTTCGATGCCCTTGCTCTTCACATAAACGGCGTAGGCGGTGTGGGCGATGTTGGGGACCAAGCCTATGATTTGGACTTCGCCTCCTTCAGTCTCCCTCACGGTCTTCTCCATCTTCACTTTGTCGTTGCCGATGACGTATAAGCCCTTGTGCTTGGCATTCTTGTAGTTATCCAGCTTCTGGAAGCGCTCAAGGTGATTCTTGATCCTGCTCTTGGCGCCCTCCATGACGAATGTCTCCTCAGAAATGTTGACCATAAGGTCTGGCTTCCCCTTACCCTGGTCTGACCGCTCTGGGGCAAAGGGCTGGTAGCCGACTTCCTCCAGTACACTATAGATGGCTTGGCTATACTGTGCCTCAACCGGAAGACCATCCTTTGCCAACTCAGATGTGTCTCCTGCGAAGCTTACGACCTTAGAGAAGAGAAGGTAGGGCAATGCTCGCAGCAGTAGGTCTGCACAGTGCTGCGGCTTGTCTTCCGTAAAGGCAACTTGCAAGGCTGCCTCCTGCTTCAGAACCTGGCGGTAGTAGGACGTCATCAGCGGATTGGATACCTTGTACTTGGTACTTTAGTCGCTCCAGTTCACCTCTAGGAGCTCGTGGTCTTCTTCATGCTTCGGCAGAATAAAGCCATGAATGGACAAATCTCTTCTGGTGGTTGCATCCTTGATCATGCAAGAACCACTGCAAAGCAGGCGAATAAATTCTTCTGGGATTGCATCTAAGGACTGATAGCGACCATTGACATGGATTGCACGACTTTTTTTTGCATGGCTCAGAATCCCGTCAGCCTTGTTCCAATCTCCATGGGCATAGCTCTCGCGCACAAGTTTTACTGTCTCCGTAAAGCCCCAGATCTCCTTCTTCTTCTTCTCTTTCTGTTGAAGGCTCACCCAATGCATTGCTGCCATGAAGATTCCACGATGTCCACCGCAAAATTGCATAAAGAACTCGATGCTCTGTTGATCTAGCCGCACATCGGCTGCCTCCAGCTGTTCCTTGAGGTCGATCGTGCAGCTCAAGGGTGGTGTCCAAATGAACTTCTGGTTGATTTCAACGGGTGTAGCCACATTCTGCTTTGATGCAGTGGAAGCGTCTCCTGATGCTGAGAAAAGCAAAACCCTTGGTCGACAGTTTTCGCTGCAAAGTGTTTGAAGTGCAGTAACCTCGATCCCGTGGGTGGTCTGCTGCACGGACAAGAAAAGCCAGGGGAAAAAGCCCCTGCGGCACGTACGCATGCCAGAAGCATGAAAGGCAGGGACCCAAGGAACTAAACCCAAGGGGGCAGGGACAAAGGAACCCAAACCGGAAGACACTAGCCTAAACCCAGCTGCTCAGCAGCGAGCAGGACCAAGCATGCGAGATACCAGGTAGGCGCCGCGGCGACACCACAACAGAGCCTCAGAGGGCACGAAGGCAAGGGCATAGGGACCTAAACCAAAAGGAGGGCGGGGGGGGCAAAACCCACTAACAGGTGGCATGGAGCCAGAAGGCCAGACACCGAAAGCCTAAACCGAAATCACGCCTCACGGTCGGAGAGACCGAGCTGGGGATTGCCTTCCCAGGTATGCGCAAGGACGTGAATACCAAGCCGGCAGGCCGCAACCTGCATGCAAGCACGGCGCCGCCGATCGGGGCTAGCTCGGAAGACGACCCACCCGGATTTAGCAGTGCAGCGCGGTTGTCGCGCGAACCACCCTGCAGGCAGAGAAAACTCGCGAGAGAGACTCAAGCGCATCGGCTGGAATTGCGGACAATGAGCCCACCAGTGCCCAAAAGAGGCCCAAGGCACGCCACAGAACGGACAAGACGTGTCAGCGCCAGGAATGCTCTGCCGGCGCGCGGGGGAGGACACCGCACCACCACGGAAGATGCGGAGGAAAAGGCAGTGATCTCGAGATAGGGAAGCGACCCAATCGCGCCAGACCCTCTCAGAGGGAAGCGTGAGATCAGCATCAAGAAGGCCTTCAGCGTCTTGACGACTCAAGTTGACGTGACTGAGGCACTTATTGCGGGCAAGCAAGCGCAGCGCATGCTGACCGGCCGGTGTACCCCCGTCCACGACACCGCCCCATCTGGGAGGAAACCCGGACGACAGGAGCTGGCGGACGCGACGGTCGCCATGAGGAATCCGAAGAGTGTAAGAGCCGCGAACGGGTTCCTGCACTTCAAGCCCAAGCTGCGCAGCATGAACTTCTACACAGGCCAAAAGCTGAGGAGTGCAAGGGAGGGCAGCAGCACGCGTGAGGGCCGCAACCGCACTGCCATACTGAGGTTGAAGATCAACATGATCGGCGAAAACGCGCGCACGACACCACCATGTGGAGCAACTGCAAAGCAAAGCACGCTGAATGCGAAGTGTGACATCCCAGGGCGGCGACTGCAGCAGCGGAAGGGGCCACTCCCACATGGGCTTGATAAAGACACGAGCGGCATTAGCCCGAATGGCGAAACCCCCAGGCAGACGAGGCAGGAGGGCAATTAAGTCCAAGACAGGGCCCCATCCAGCACGCAGGTGAGGGGGCTCAAGGGTCGCAGGCGAGAGGCGCAACCCAAGGTGCTCAACGGACTCAGCAGCTTGCCAGAGTTGGCGCTTCCGCAGGTTCTCAACCAGACCCAAAGCTTGGTCACAACGGGCAGTAACGTCAAGGGCAGCTTGCAGCCTTTCAGGGCCGAGAGTACACCGCAAGGATCTGTCATCGACATGAGCCCATGCAGCAATGCCGGGGCAGACACGGGCCAAAAGAGTGTGCCACGGACGCGAAAACTGCATTTAAACAGTGCCGTGCATAGCTTTGGTGAGGAAAAAAGCGTGTGAGCCTCGTCGTAGACCAAGGTCAGGTTCTTGTTTGCCGCCAGCTTCAGGGCATTCCGAAAGGCCAGGTCATCCTTGTTGATCGTTTGGCTCGTCGCCTTCTCGATGGCTTCCACAGTCCCCAGCTGCCAAGCAGACTCCTCCCCTGCGTTAGTGAAGGGCACCATGACGTACTTGTCGGGAAACTGACCTGCCAAATGCTCCGCGAATGTTGTCTTGCCGGTGGCTACGCCGCCGCGGATGAAGACAACACTATGTCTGTCTTCGAACAACTTGCCAACCCTCTCAGAAGATTCTTGTAGGGAAATGAAGACATGATAGTTGTCCTCAGCCACCTGTCCAATGGGCGGCAGCGTTCGAGGCTTCTTAGCAGGTCGCTCTTTTCCACCTTTTGCAGGTCGCTTCATGGCAGAGGACATCTAACGTGTCCGACAACCTGGACACTCAATGTGTGCGTGATAAAATGGCAAACAGTCTGTCAAAACGTGCGCTGTTCATGAATGCCGCAGCTGACTGCTTGAGTGACAAACCTCGACTCAATGGGTTGTGCCAACATCTGCATTAACGGACACATCAAATCTGGAGCCATCAAGCACCTGCGCAAAAGGCCCTACCATCAATGCCTGCCCACGAAGGGAACACTTCACATGAAACATCCTCTGCAAACAACTTTCTTGTACTAGCCTGGCAGAGAAAGGAAAAACATGGTTCTGCGGATCTGTTGGCATGGTCAGCGGGGTATCCGGTGCTTTTTGGCAGGCTTTCGATCTTCGAACAATTCGCCAACCTTCTCAGAATAACCTTGTAGGGAAGTGGAGACATGATGGTCTTCCTGAGCCACTTGTCCTATAGGTGGCTGCGTTCGAATGGCACGACTTCGTGCGCTGAAGCTAATGGGGCATCCGACGTGTTGCAGCCACAAGAAAATCACCACCCACAGCACGGATCTTTTGCGCATTGCTTCAACCACTCGAAGCCACCGGGGCAATGCGATGGCTCTCCACCAATCGACACTGAACGCCCCAAACCGCGAAACGTTGAGCCAAACCTATTAGGGATGTACCCACCGGAATCGCGCCCTCGCCACAGTTTGGTGCGAAGCGGCCCGGGAAGGTCTTTTTGGTCTCGCGCGGGCCTTCTCGGGGCTGGCTGTGTCGCTTTCTGGCCGGCGGGCCCGGCAGGCTGAGT